CATTCCAGGGGTGAAATGCTCCCGGTTCGGACCGGATCACCCAATCTGGTAGCGATGGAGGCAGGTGGTTCGGAGAACCAGTAGCCTTGGTAGTACAGTGGTCTAAAGCACCCTGTTATTAAGACCAGCTGCCTGCAATTACTGCAGGTTCGAATCTCGCCAGGCTCAAGGTTGACTCAGCCTTCCATCCTTTCTAAGGTAGGTGAAATGAGGACCCAGTTTGTGGGGGCAATAAGCTGAGTTTGTATAAATATACAAAAGGATGAAGGCTATTGCTTAGCACATTGTAAGCCGCCCTGAGTCTCCGGAGAAGGGCGGCATATAAATCAATTTTTTTAAAAAAAAAAATCCCTGCCCCCCGCACCCCCCCATTGCCCAGCTGAGCCACGCAATCATCAGAGGCTTTTTTTTTTTTTTTTTTAAAAGCATTTTTTCTACAACCTCTTTGGCCTAAAAAAATGCTTTTAAAAGTAAAAAAAAAAAAAAAAAAGCCTCTGATGATCGCATGGCTTAGCTGGGATCATCAGAAGCTTTATTAAAAGCATTTTTTTACAACTTCTTCAGCCAAAGAGGTTGTAGAAAAAATGATTTTAAAAGTAAAAAAAAAAAAAAAGTTGACCACGCCCACTCAGTCATATTACCCACCACCACCAAGCCACGCCCACCGAACTGGTAGTAACAAATTTTACATTTCACCACTGCTCCATTCCCTTCCCAATCCGGGGGAAGGTTACTGCAAAATCCCCATTTCCTCCTGATCAGCTGGGACTCGGGAGGCAGAGAACTGGGACTCGCTTTGTCGGCTATATCAGGGGAGAGATGAAGTGTTTTTCCCCGGTGAGACCGGTCTATCAGGGCAACCTGATATATAAATTTAATAAAACTAAAAACTAAACTAAACAACCTGGTCTACCCAAATATGGGTTGGAGGATACTGCATCTGCGGGGAGAGCCCGTGGCTTAGAGGTCAAGTCATCTACCTAATATGCAAGTAGCCTGGGTTCGAATCCCAGAAAGGGTATGGCTAGCTTATGAGAGCTAAATAGCTTGAAATAGATCTATACTAGTCTCCCTTTATTTCTTTGTCGGTCAATATAAATTCAACACAACTCTACTGGTAGTCTTTGACTTACAATCACAATTGGGAACAGAGTCAATTCTGATGTTACAATCCTTTTTGTCATGGTTGTTTAATGATTCACATGCTTGTTAAGCAAATCGAACTCCTCCACTGACTTTGCTTGTTAGAAGCCGGTTGGGTCTGGAGGCTAAATTGTGTGATGAATGGCTAAGGGAGTTAGACATCTTTAGCGTAATGAAGAGAAGCCTCAGAGGAGACATGATAGCCATCTTCCAATACTTGAAGGGCTGTCACAGAGAAGAGCTGTTCTCCAAAGCATTAGAAGGCAGGACAAGAAGGAATGGATGGAAGCTTTTCAGAGAGTGAGATCCAACCTAGAGCTTTCCCATCAGTGGGAACATCGTGGAATGGCTTGTTTCCGGATGTTGTGGGTGCTTCATTGCTGGAAGTTTTCAGGAAAAGATTGGCCAACCGTTTGTCTGGAATAAGGACTCCTGCCTTGGGCAGAGGGTTGGACTACAAGACCTCCAAGGTCCCTTCCCTTCCATATGATTCTATGAAAATATCAAGAGCTGAAGCAGAGGACTGGAAGACCTCCAAGGTCCCTTCCAGCTCTAGGACTCTATGATTCTATGAAACTCAAGAGCTGACGCAGAGGACTGGAAGACCTCCAAGGTCCCTTCTAGCCCTAGGATTTCCATGATTCTATGAAACTATCAAGAGCTGAAACAAGAGGATTTGACCGGAGCTCTCCAAGGTACTGAACCAACTTTTGCTCATCTACAAATAGGAAATATGGTAGGTGCAATGGTGTACCCACTGTCCCTTGTGTTCGTGCAGGCAATGTCACAGCCGTGTACAAAAGGGGCGGGGCTTCCATTGCAACACTGCACTCATCTCTTGCAGGTTTTGACCCTTCTTGCCCCTGGGATCCACAGAACCCCAACTGGGAGAGTCCGAATTATCCAACTGGAGGAAGCTTGGTTGTCTTCCCAGAAGTCTTTTGTGAAGTCATCTAATCACATCCTTCTAAAAAAAGGATATCTTGACCTGAAACAGTTATCTAGTTTGGGGCATAACCCTGTGGGAGGAAAATTCAACTTCATTAGACTTATAATTTGTTTTTAGTTGGCAGGTTTCCTATTGACACAGAGAAAAATGTAAAAATAGCATCTGTTTTTAAAGAAGTGACTTTCCTTTCCCCGCGCCTTCCTAAAGAGGTTGTCTTTCTTAATTGTATCCATTTTCTGCAACTTTAAAGCCCTTAAAGTGATGCTTTTCTCTGAGTCTTTTGTTTTCCGCATTCTCAGCCTGAGAATGGCACATCAGGTGAATACTAAAAAGCGAGAGAGCGTCTCAAAGGAAGAAAGAGATGGCACCGGAGTTAGGTTAGCTTCCGTCTGAATAACACCGCTGAGTTCCTTTTGTAAAAGTTTTAGGCCAAACGGATTTAAGGAAATTTGAAGAGAGCAAGAGGAAACCGTTCAAAGGCTTGAAGGCAAAAGGTTGAAGGAATTGATGCCATTTTTCCTTTTAAGCAGGAGGGAGAGCAAAATTGTCCAGTGCCACCATTTTTAACGCAGCATTTGAACTCTTCTGTGTAAGCTGCATTGAGAAGAAATTAAGATTTAGCTGACTGATGGTGACAAGAGAGGTGGTTTGAATTTGGGGGGGGAGGGTATAGATATTTTTATGATTGGTACCCCGTCTGCTCAGAGAGAACTTTTGATGCTTTTTTTCAGGAGGCAACTGGACTTTCTTGTTTTTTCTTTTGAAGATGTTTTGCTTCTCATCCAAGAAGCTTCTCCAGCTCTGACAGGATGGTGGGGAATGGAAGGATTTATATTCCTTGCAGACTGCTGGTCATTTGAATCCTTTGAGAGGGTCGTTGAGGCCACTTGGAGGTTTATCTGTGTCCTCAGAGTCACCTGAGTGGTGCAGATGGTTCCTGTAGTCTGCAAAAAAATAAAAAAGTCCAGTTGCCTCCTGAAAAAAGCATCTTTTGGGACACATTCTGGTGAGAGAGAAATTCCCTGAGGATGGACTCCAGCACAAGTCTGAAAGCTCAGAAGACTAAACCTCTGGTCCCAGTTGACCAACGCAGATTGGATCCTTAGTGGAGAGTCTTGGAGATGAACTGAACTGAATGATGGTGGTGAGACTCCGGTCCCGGAGGCTGATTTATCTTTGCATGCTGATTCGGAGGATGATATGGAGGAAGCTGGCAGGAGCTATGTGCCGGAGGGGCCGTCTTCACTGGTGAGTCAGCAAGAACTGACAGTTGCTGACGTGCCTCTGGACCCCAGACAAATTGAGGAGGAAACAGAGGCCGGTAATGAGGAGAGGGAGCCCCTATTGGATGCAAGAGAGAGACGTAGGAGACGTCGTAGAGAACAGCTATTGCCACGTCCCAAGAGGTGTGGTCAGGAGACGTAGGGCCACACCTTACAAAGTATAAAAGGGGTGTGGCTGGGCCGGAAAGGCGTGGTGAACAATTTGTTGGTGTTTTGGATGCAGTGGAGTTTAGAACTGCTAGTTTTGAGTTTTGAAAAGGAGTCTGCATTCCTGCATTAGCCTGCTGGCTGTCTGCCAAGACCTCTGGAACATTGCCTGGTAATTACTGAACTGATATACTTTTGAAAGAGAACTGTTTATTAAAGGGCCAGCTTCAATCTCTCTAGCCTGCATTTGTTACTGCCGGGCTATTTGAGCTTCTGCAAAGCCACTCGTGGGAGGGGACAGAGCAGATGGCTTTTCAGACAATGTGGAGACATTCTGGACTTATGACGACCCCCTTCTTCTCACTTGCTTTCTTCTCCTTTCTACCTCCCCCACCCATTTTATGGATGTCCCTAGAATGTGATCAAGGGTGCATTGTCCTCATATCCAACTTTCGTTATGATATTGCATAGTTGTGAATTATTGTGAAATCCATTCAGAGTACGAACAGTGCAAAAAAACAAACAAACAAAAGGGATTGCCAGCTTCGAAATCTAGCCAGGGACAAGTTAGACACACCCACTGAGTTGAAATTTTGCAAAGGGAAAGGGGTAAATAAAGATGAAGCATCTTTCAAGCTGACCTTCAGTTAAATTGATTTGATGGATGCATCCAGGTAGGTTGCAGCTCAAATGCAGGGGGGAGAGGTGACAGTTGTTTGATTAATGATGATGATTTTTCCCCTCCCTCAAGCCAATTGCTAGAAGAGGTATACAGTTTCTCCAACTCACGGTAACAGATTTAAACAGATAATTTTGCTTTCTCCTTAACTGGCCTGGTCACTTTCCCCAACGCATTTTACCTAAAAATCCCAACACTCAGACTTTCTCTATATATATCCGGTATTTATTGATAAGTGCTTAGGAATGATGCCATCTTATTTGCTTAAAGACAAATGTTTGTTTGTTTATTTATTTATTTATTTATTTATTTATTTATTTATTTATTGGTTCAATTTATATGCCGCCCTTCTCCGGACAAATGTTTATTTATTTATTTATTTATTTATTATTATTTATTATCCGGACAAATGTTTGTTTGTTTGGTTGTTGGTTGTTTGTTTATTTATTTATTTATTTATTTATTTATTTATTTATTTAATTTATTTATTTATTTATTTATTTATTTATTTATTTATTTATTTATTGGTTCGATTTATATGTCGCCCTTCTCCGGAGACTCAGGGCAGCTTACAATGCGTTAAGCAATAGCCTTCATACTTTTGTATCTATCTGCTTAGTAGGGCTTTCGACACCCCCCCCCAAAGCGGTGTTCTTTTTTTTTTTTTAACCCTGTTCTTTCTTTTCCAATTGTCCATGTACAATGTGTTGTTGCTTTGCTGGTTGTCTAGATCTTTTTTAAAATCGTCCTTTGCCATCCCGCCTAGTCTAACGCCTTTTCTCTGTTTCTTTTCATCCAGAAGCAACAACAATAACATGTTCAGCGAAGTTGTGCGACTGAATTTTGAAATTGCCAGTTTCAGCAGCCTTTCGGGGACCCAGCCAATATCCTGGCAAGTGGAATATCCTCAGAAGAAGATGACAGAGATGGCCCTTTCTGAAATTTTCATTTGCCAAAAGGATCTCGTGGGGATTGTCCCACTAGCAATGGTAAGAGATTCTAAGTTGATATTCCTACAACATTTACCAAAGATCTGTTGTACTCTTGTACTGCTCTCATGGGAACTTTGACATTTCTTCATTACTTTTCCTAAAAAAATAATATGCCTACCCTCCAAGATGTTTGGAGAGCAATGTCTTCCTAACATTCTAGTAAAGATAGGTTGAAGAATGGTTTATTGGCTGATGATCACTCAAGACCAAGGAATGGTGCCAGTGGCCTAGAGGTGGAGTTCTCGCCTCACAATTAGGAGGCTGTGAGTTTGATCCTAGGTAGAGGCAGATATTTCTCTCTCTGGGCACAATGAGAATATAGCTGCTGAACAAAACTCCTCATTGGCAACAGGAAAGGCATCCGGCCAGTAAACACTCAGCTCCATTCAGTTGCCCAGACTCTACCCCGCAAGGGATTATGGGGTTGTTAAACAATGATGGTGGTGATGATGATGAGCACTCAAGACGAACCTTTCAGTAGACTGGAGATCTGCTGAAGTCCATCATTCTAATCATGACACCATATTGAATGCATCTATTCAACCCAGAGGTGGCTTTAATATTTTGAAATAGCAATGCCACGTAATATGGAGTTGGTGAGCTGATGCCCTAATGTTGAGCATTAGTCCAGTCGCTATGACTTTAGTTTGGCAAGATTCTGTCTATCAGTGAGCAGCAATAAAGGAAACTGCCTTAGAAGAACCTCAACATGCCTTGCTTGGTTTGGCAGCCTGGATAGTAGTTGCATTTTGGCATGTTTGTAAGGCCCACCATGGATTTTACCCATTGTGTGAACTGTGTCTTCATGTTACTCCATGGTGTGATTAGTCTGAGCATTCTATGGTTATATGAACCCAACAATTGTGTTCCGTTAAATCCAGATGAAATGCATGAACTTCCATGGTTAAGGGTAGACTCAAAACTGGTTCTCACTGATCAGTGGTGGGATTCAAATAACTTGACAACCGGTTCTCTGCTCTAATGATCAGCTGGGTAGGCATGGCTCGATGGTCATGTGACTGTGTAGGCGTGGCCAACTCAACATCACTCACGTCGATGGGCACTTCACCTTAGCTGTTACCAGTGGTGAGTTCCTCCTGGTTCGGTCCGGTTCAGCCGAGCCAGTAGCGATGACGATATGACGTCACCAAACCGGTTCTCCCCCCCCCACCCTCCCACCCCCCACCCCCCCACATTATTCTTACCTTTTATTTGGTCCCACCCCCAATCTGTTGCTGCCTCCTGAGTCCCAGCTGATGACTAGAGGGAAAAAAACTGTTTAAACTCTTGCCGCCGGGCTTCAAAGGGCCGTCCTACAGCTGATCAGTGTTAAAAGCAAACAAATGAGTCGGGTTGTAAGTGCAAGGACTGGTCGTAAGTGCGAGGACCTTCCAGAAATGACTCTGACCAGCTAGTCAAGCCCACCTAGTCACATGACCTCCAAGTCACACCCACAAAATAAGCCACGCCCACAGAACCGGTAGTAAAAAAAATTAGAACCCACCCCTGGCTGTTACAATGTAATAAGGGTTAACCAGAGAGTCAGTTTCTGTAAGCAGGGCAATAAAGATTAGGCTAGAAACAACACCAGAATGTTTCCTTCCTGCCTTCCTTACAGGATTAGCGATGTAAAGTGGGGGGAAAAAAACAAAATAAGATTTCTTCCAACAACCGGTTCTCCGAACTGCTTAAAAAGTTAACAACCGGTTCTCCCGAATAGCTGCAAACTGGCTGAATCCCACCACTGTCACTGATCCATCTCCAACCCTTCACCATTACGCACTTCAGCTCTCCTATAAAGATGGACCTCTTTCCAATTGTCTTCTCCAAGCCACCAATGAAACAGATAAGCTAACCTCATGCTACCTGGTCATTAACCAGTTTTGTCCTTAACGATGATACACCCTGAAAGTAAGAAACAAGTGAAAGTCACATGGTCAAATATCTGGGAAAGATGATCCTTGGGAGGGGTAAACAAAACATTCGCCGAAAGAGAAGAGCTTTGATACACACCCACCCAAATGTCTATGTAACACGCCAAATATTTTTTGGCTCAACCCTAGTCAAAGAAAGCAAGCGAGGCCAATTCTGCCAAGCTGATGCTAATCAGAAGTTAATAATAAGTCCTTCATCTGGGGAAACGTTAAAAGGATTTGGTGATGCTTGGCCAATAAATTATAAATAGACCTAAACTATTACTGGGATGTTTCCTAAAAATACACTTTGAATTGCCTTCTTAGGTATAGATGTGTCTGTTTTCTGCCAAGACATATCAGCAAGGTTGGCACAGCCTGTAAAGGCAACCTGCTAATAGCATCAAGGTGAATAAAGGAACCGATGCTTAGAATTTTCTTTTTTCGGGAAAAAAAAATAAAAAAATAAAATGCTGGTAGGATCAGATAAGGTAAAAGAACATTCGCTCTTCTTTTTTTCCCCCGCTAACTCCGCAGTTCCAGCCAGCCCCTTATTTTGCTGTCGTTATTTTTTTTTTAATTTCTTCTTCAATTGTGCGTTAATCTCCCGTCGAGCTGATTACCTGACAATTCCCTGGCTCGGAATTGCAGGCTGAGAAAAACGGGAGCTTCAAAGGGGAAAAAAAAGTTTGAGGTTGCCATCTGCTCAGATATATCCAAATCTGCTCTGTGAGTTTGGATGCTTTAAAAAAAATGGGGGGGGGGGAAATGCAAATTCATTCCAATTTGGCATGGGGGGTGGAGAATCAAGGAATGGTTTTGGGATTATGATGATGATGATGGTTGGTCACACAGTCAGTCAGATGTTCCGATAGGATTTGGCATTGTTGTCCACCTATCGAGTCCTTCCCAAGGACTTGGGATAGGTAGATAGACTATAAAATAACAGAGTTGGAAGGGACCTTGGAGGTCTTCTAGTCCAACCCTCTGCTTAGGCAGGAAACCATACACCACTTCAGACAAATGGTTATCCAACATCTTCTTAAAAACTTCCGGTGTTGGAGCATTCACAACTTCTGGAGGCAGGTTGTTCCACTTTTTTTCCCTCAAAAATATTGAGAAAAAATATTAAACAAACAGTGAATTCCTCTCATTCGCCTTCAGCAAAGTCTTTCAAGGGAGAATTTACAGTCACAGACCTTATCTGGCTTGGAGAGCTGCCAGGCCGATATCTTCAAAATTTGGCAAGGAGTCTCGGAGAGTCACAAACCAATTAGGCAAACTAATTTGTCTCCTGCAAACTCCACTCCCCTTTCGCTCCTCTTTTATTCCCTCTGGGAGGGGCCATTCATCGTCCACCTGTGGCCTTACCCCCAAGTCAACCCTTGTTCTTTAGATGTTCCCTTCGTCTGGCAACTCTGCATACGCGCACAGTGGGAACAGGCTCCAGCTGTTCATCTGCCTCACTGATGTCTGACTCTGAAGGCAGCTGACAACTGGCATACGGCCCTGGCCCCATCACCCTAACCCTCATCCGAGCCTTCCCCAGACTCCAGGACTGGCCCATGTTCCTCCCCAACCTCCTCACTGTCCGAATCTGCTGCCAGCTCCACTGGCCGCTGGTGGGCCACAACCGTGATGAACGTAGAAAAATGTGGTGTCTTTTTAAGAAACCTTTTAAGGTGAAAAACAATTCAACCCAAATAAGTCTTTTATTTGGAGAGCCAAACTTCTGGGCATCCCTGTGACGCATTTTTGTGGTGCGATCCACAAAAATCTCCAAATCTTTTTTTGGTGCAACTTGCAAAATCTCCATGATGTGTTTTTGTGATTCAACCCTCCACCCCCGCACGCACACACTCACACAAAAAAATTGCTAGATGACGGTCAACCACAAAAGCCAGCCAGGCAGAGAATGGGTCAAGATGGCAAAATTAAAGTGACAGCTTTGCTGAGAGGCATCCGTGTTTATTTATTTACATGTGGGAGATTATTATGATGTGAGGGGGAAAGGAGAATTCACCGTGCCAGAGTTGGGATTTGTAAAATAGAAAAGACCTGGCCAATTTGTCACTCTGAGTTTTCTTTTAACTTGAGGCCTCCTTCTTTCCCGATAAGCCATTTTTCGTCTTTAGCGGGTAGAATTTTAAGGTTTACCGTATTTTATTCCTGATGCTTTTTCAAAGCTCGTAAGTGCATTAACTTGGCTTTTCAACAGCCTGATCCTGTTTGAACAGTGACAGGACCTAATTGGGAAGTCCAGATCTGTTTGTGTTCAGTTCGGCTCGCCTTCAATCCAACCTGCTGAATAATTTACAAAGGCACACTTACATAAGGCCCGATTATGAATATAGAAAACATTTCTCTTATATGCATGCTCGCATGTAACATTTCCAAACAGAGATATTTAGCCATGTAGTAGGACTGTATTACTATTATCCTTCTCATCTTTCCTATTACCTACTCCTACTGGCATCTGACGATTATATTACTTTATTGTTTGTATATACACTGTATATACACTGTATATACACTGAGAGCTTCAGCTGCACCGGAGAGAAATTCCTTGTGTGCCCAAATCACACAAATAAAGAATATTCTATTTTATTCTGTATTAGGAAGATGCTAGATCCATAAAAGGCTGTTCTGTCCCCGTACCACACACGCATCCCCACAGATGGCCCGGAGTTAATAAACCACACGACAAAACTCTTTGAAGATAAAGCTGGCAGCAACCCAGTGGCTAGCTGCCAATTCAGACTTTACTCACACAAAACAAAGATTAGACTGCAAGCATTCCGATAAAACAGGCAGAGTTTCAACAATACAAGGATTAATCCAAATGCAGTCCGATAAAGCAGGCAAAGTCCAGTAATGCAGAGATCATGGATTATTTCCAGTTTTTGCTCATCACAAACTGAACCGGCCACCACACCCACATTTATACGCTGTGGGGTGTGGTCCAGTGACTCAGCTAATCTCTGGCACGCCTTCCCCTCTGCTGCGCACGCTTCTCCCTGCGCCTCTGCCGAGGGTCCAGCCAGCACTTATCTTCTTCGTCATCGTCCACCTGTGGCTGTGGGG